TCTCTCTCTCTCTCTTTTTTAAGATTTTAAAAATTTATTTGACAGACAGAGATCACAAGCAGGCAGAGAGGCAGGCAGAGAGAGGGGAGGGAGAGAAGCAGTCCCTGCGGGGCTTCATCCCAGGACCCCGGGATCACCACCTGAGCAGAAGGCAGAGGCTTTAACCCACTGAGCCACTCAGGCACCCTTACTCTGGTTTCTCTCTTAAAGGCTCTTTGCTGACTCTTGCAAGTCCTTCTTCCTACATCCAACCTCGCATTTCAGTGTCCCCTGGGTGAAGTGCGTCGTTTCTCTTTTCCGCCTCTGCACACAGATAAACTACATTTCCCAGCCTCCTGTGCACTGAGGCCACAACGTGACTGAATTCTGTCCAGTGGAATGTGAGCAAAAGTGATACCTCCACTTCCAGACCAGGCTCTTGAAAGCCTTCCCAAGATGCTGCCCTCTCTCCCCACTGGAAACCACAGAGCTTCAAAGTAGAAGGAGCCTGGGTCCCTGATTGACCTTATGGAAGGCTCGCTTCCAATACCAGCACTGGACTGTCACATAAGCAAGGAAAAAAACTTCTCCTGAGTTATACCCCTGAGACTGGGGGGCTGTTGGTTACAACAGCTCACCTGCTCCAGCTCCTAAGATTCTTGTCACGGCGCCCTTCCCATGCTGCACAGTGCAGGATATAATTTATGCATCGATGCTATTATTTAAATTGCTATCTAAAATCAGATGACTCTCAAATCTCTCTCTAGCTCTGCCTTCCCTCCCAAGTTCTAAAAATGAACTCATTATGTTCTCCCCCCAAACTGCTCATCTCTCTGCATTTCTATGTAATGTCATCCATATCTCCTCCACCTCCCAAGAAAGAAATCTTAAAGTCTGACCTCATTCTTCCCTCCGGCACCCAATAGCCAGTTAGTCTAAAATCTGGTTTTCTGAATAAGTGTATTTCAAACTTGACCTTCTTTTTCCCCTTAGGTCTGACCCCCCGCTATATCCAAATTGTACTGGAATAATATTCTCCCCTTGGGTTGTATTACCTTTAGGGCATTCTTCTAGATGCTAGGTTCACTCAAAAGACAGATCCAAGGGGCTCCTGCGTGGCTCAATTGAGAGTCAGACTTTTGATTTCAGCTCAGGTTGTGATCTCTGGGTTGTGGGACTGGGCCCTGCATTGGGCTCCATGCTGGGCCTGGAGCCTGCCTGGGATTCTATCTCTCCCTCTGCCCCTCCCAGACTGAGTGCATGTGCATTCTCTCTCTCTCTTTCTCTAAATAAAGGAATAAAATCTTTAAAAACGAAAACAAAAACAAACCAATACAGATCTAAGCTTGCCACAAGTTTACTTAAAACCATCATTCGTTCTTTCATTAATTCCTTTGTCCCTCCATTCAGGAAACACATATTAGTGGGTACTGTGTGCGAGGACCTGGACCCTGGAATCACAAAGATGGGCTGTGGATTTGGAGGGGCTCCACTCTAATGAGTGAGGGACACTGTGCCATAATTACAGCCCAGTGTTGTGTGGTCACACGACGCCCTGTGGAAGAAATGCTGAGTGTAGGGATGCTTGGATGGCTCAGTCAGTTAAGCCTCTGCCCTCAGCTCAGGTCATGATCTCAGGGTCCTGGAATCGAGTCCCCTGTTGGGATGCCTGCTCAGCAGGGAGTCTGCTTCTCCCTCTCCCACTCCCCCTGCTCGTGTTCCCTCTCTTGCTGTGTCTCTGTCAAATAAATAAATAAAATCTTTAAAAAAGGAAGTGTCTGCCAGGGTGGAAGCAGTGAGGGCGGCTTCACAAAGGCTGTGACATTTGAGCTGAATCTTGACGGTTGAGGAGTCTGGCGAGGAGTCAAGATATGTGTCCAGGGCATGCGGGGGGTGGGCTGGCTTCAGGCAGAGGCTTACAATGTGAGACTGAGGAAGTGCCTCTCTTCGTGGCCAACCTCCTGGGATGGATCGGTCCATAGTCCAGCCGGCCATCCACAAAGTCGACAGGCAGGTACTGAGCACCCAAGGAAACTGAGGCACACAGACGCCCACTTGCAGCACACTGTCTGGAGCAAATAGATTGTCTTCAAAGTACCCTGGGCTGCTTCTGTCTAATGATTCTACCCCAGGTCTCCCCCAGAACTAGACAGCCGCCCACCGCATAGCATCCTCAAGCAATACCCTGTTAGGGTTTGAAAGTTTTCTCTTGGGTGCCTGAGTGGCTCAGTGGGTTAAGCCTCTACCTTTGGGTCAGGTTGTGATCCCAGGGTCCTGGGATGGAGCCCCGCATTGGGCTCTCTGCTCCATGGGGAGCCTGCTTCCCTTCCTCTCTCTCTGCCTGCCTCTCTGCCTACTTGTGATCTTTCTCTGTCAAATAAATAAATAAAATTTTTAAAAAATTTAAAAAAAGAAAGTTTTCTCTCTACTTTTGGCTGGGTCTGCTCTTGCTACTACTTTGGGAATCTTAGACTCTTCTGATTAAATTCCTTTCTTCTTTTGTTGACAGTTCCAGCTTAATCTGCCTCCAGGCACGGCCCCTGAGTTTTGGGGCTCAAAGATGGGGTCTGTTTCACACTTCCTCAGCAGAAGGGCTTGGAAGACTCAGAACTGACTGGCATCCTCTCTTGCCTGCCACCCACACTTCACAGGGTCTGCCTGCCAAACGGAACATGGTCCGGGGTCAGAAATAGGGATGCAGAGGACACTTAGGTGTAAATATCCATTTTCAGAAATGAAATGTCCTTAGAATCATGCATGGAGGCCCTTTCCCTGTCTGTAAAAATGAATTGTACTAATAGATTTCTCATGACCTTCTCTATCTAAATCCTTTTACCCTCTGGAATGTTCATTTTGTAGGACAAAGCTTGATTTGGAACCATAATCATAATGTGTACTTTTTACTGTCTGGACAGAATGAATTTTTTAAAAAAGATTTTATTTATTTATTTGACAGAGAGAGAGACAGCAAGAGAGGGAACAGAAGCAGGGGGAGTGGGAGAGGGAGAAGCAGACTTCCCGCAGAGGAGGGACCCCTATTCGGGGCTCAATCCCAGGACTCTGGGATCATGACCTGAGCCGAAGGCAGATGCTTAATGACTGAGCCACCCAGGCACCCCTGGACAGAATAAATATTTTTAACATTTTTTTAAAGATTTTATTTATTTATTTGTCAGAGCGAGAGAGGGAGAGAGAGCGAGCACAGGCAGACAGAATGGCAGGCAGAGGGAGAAGCAGGCTCCCTGCCAAGCAAGGTGTCTGATGTGGGACTCGATCCCAGGACGCTGGGATCATGACCTGGGCCGAAGGCAGATGCTCAACCAACTGAGCCACCCAGGCGTCCCTATTTTTAACATTTTAAACTATATACCCTCCCTGGGGCACCTGGGGCACACTCTCCACCCCCACCCCATCCCCCGCACCAAGAAAATAACATGGCATATTCAGGGAGTTACCAGGACTTTGATGAGCCTGGAGGGCACAGCGTTTGCACTGAGGACTGACCAGGCAGGGTCCAGATCCTGAAGGGGTCTTACCCTGCAAGGTCCATCTTGACTGCTGTAAGAGGTGCAGGGATAATCGGGACAGAGTGGCCTTTTAGGAGGATCACTGGGACCATCATGGGCAGAGGATGGAAGTGACTGGGGGGTCAAGAAACCCAAAGAGAAGACTGGGCAGGATCCAGGCAAGATGTGTTAGGGCCTGGGAGAAGGAATGGCTTCAAGGGATTATGGAAGAAGGGTCAGAGAACTCGGCACCCAAGAAGAAATGACAAGAAGGAGTGGGGGTTCGTGATGGTTCTGAAAAGCCCTGGAAAAGTCTAGAACAAACTTAGGTTTGGTGACCTCCCCAGTTCTTTCAGAACTGAACTCAAACTCCCTCACCCTTCAGAGACGGGCTTCAACCTGCCCTTCCAGCCTCCTCTCTTGAACCAGACCCCATCCCCTCAGTGAACACCTTCTTATTAATCTTTTTTCTAATTGTAAAAGTGATAGGCATTTATTATATAAAACTTGGAAATACAGAAAGGTATAAACAAAAAAAAATTTGTTCATAAATCTATCACCTGATGGATAAGCACAGTAACCATCTGGGATATTCCCTTTGAATTGTTTATCTATAAATGTCTTGTTTTTGCATTTTATTTCCTTATTTTTTTTTAAGATTTATTTGTTTATTTGAGAGAGTGAGAGCTCGAACATACGAGGGCAGAGAGGGGCAAAGGGAGAGAGAGAATCTCAAGCAGACTCCTCACTGACTGTGGAGCCCGACACGGGGCTTGATCCCATGACCCTGAGATCAGGACCTGAGCTGAAATCAAGAGTTGGACCAACTGACTGAGCCACACCGGCACCCCTATGTTTTTGCATTTTCATTACAAAATTAGATTCATACTTATTTACAGATTAGTAACTAGCTTTCGTTCCCAGGTAATGTTATATTGTAGACATTTTTCAAAGTCATTGCATAGGTTTTTGAGAACATGGTTTTTAGCACCATTCATTCATTCAAATGAATATTTACCGAGGCCCCACCACTTGCTGGCACCATGGCCAGTGGGAGCATAGCGGTGCCTCAAAGTCCTTGAACAAGACTCTCAACTAAGTCAGCTCTTGGGTTTTGGAGGTTCCTACCCTTCCCCCAGAAGCAGTGTCTCACTCCCTTTTTTGGGTGTACTCACAAAATTTTTGTCTGTACCTCTATTTGAAAACTTTTCACATATCGTGTTATTTTCCGGGCTGTCAGAGCCCTTTTGGGAGCCGTACCTATCCTCCCCCGCACCACTTCCTTCAGGATCTGCCCAGGACCCAGAAACCGGTAATAGTTCAGAAAAGTGATTGCAGGGATGCCTGGGTGGCTCAGTTGTTAAGCGTCTGCCTTCAGCTTAGGTCATGATCCCAGGGTCCTTGGATGGAGTCCCACATGGGGCTCCATCCTTATAGGGAAGCCTGCATCTCCTTCTCCCACTCTCCCTGCTTGTGTTCCCTTTCTCGCTGCGTCTCTCTCTCTCTGTCAAATACATAAATAAAATCTTGGGGAAAAAAAGTGATTGCATGTGTCCATTAAGAGGAGGTGGAGCTGATGGCTTTGGAGTTCGTGACAGTATTTTCTAAACCTGAAATCGGGGCGCTTGGTTTGGCAAATCAGAAACAACAGTTGCGGTGTGTCTAAGGGACTCTGGGAACTCGCCCCTGTTGCTGGGGCTAAGGCCTGTCCAAATAGCTCCCAGCGAACAGCTGCGAAAAGGCACTCAGCCCCGTGTTCCCCAGCTTGGCTGGTGAGGGCTGCACTTTCGTCCCAGCTCAGCCTGTCCGTAGACCAACCACAGGTGGCACAAACCATGGTGGCCGCGTGGACCCATGGCCACCATTATGTCCCTTCATCCCCCTCCCCTCCACTCCCAGGCTGTTTCCAGATCCCTGCCCCTCAGGACCGGCATGGGGTAGTCACACTCTCCCCCTTCCCAAGGACCTCTCTTGTTGTAGGTCAACCTATCCCTCAGCCACTGAGCCCCTCTGAGTCAACAACTTCCTCTTTGTAAATTTCCTCATGTCCTGGGGAAGTACCAACCGCCTCTGGCGCATGTGGGCCCCCAGGCTCTGGCCAGGGGTGGGGGTCTTGTCCCTCTGCCCCCCCCCATTGCATTCCACCCCAGAGCCATATGGGGAGCTCCTGGTTCTGGGGGCCTGCCAGTCTCACCGATTGCCCTTAAAGAAGGGAAGGAGCTCGCCCTCTCCCTGGGGAAGATGAGATACAAACACGGTACCTGGGTAACAGTAAACTCCCCGTCTTCAGCCTCTCCCCCTTCCTGGAGAGCAAGCAGACAGGGGCGGGGGAGGCTGAGCAGGACAGACCTGAGCCGAAGAACCACACTTGGGTCACACACGTGGACTTTCTCTCAGGCCCCACCGTCTTTATTGGGCTGCAGACAAGTAAATCTGCTACCTCCACCCCACCTGAGCAAAGACGAGGCCCGATGTTCTTAGCCGTTCCTCAGGGTGGCCCCTCGGACAGCCCGTCCTGCGCTCCTCCCCACCCCTCCTCACGCCGCTGTACTCAGCCCCACAACTTCACACATAGAGCCAAGGCCCGGCCTCTTGCACACCAACTACACCCATGCCTGGACCCACGCAGGCGCCGGGGTTTCTGAGAACTTGACCTGCCCGGAAATCCTTCTCACCCTTGCCCTCGGGAGGAGTAGCAGCGGCCGTCTCTGGCCGCCTCCGTCCGCAGGTGGAGGGAGGGTGGCATCATGAGCCAAGGGCACACCTGGGAGCACAGCTGGGTGACTCCAGGGGGCCCCCGCACAGAGCACGCAGTTAAAGGAGGGTCCTGGCCTGACCCAGCAGGACTGTCCTAATCTATGGGGCCAAAAAGTACTTTTCAGAGTGATCCGAGGTGGGAGTTTGCTTCCACCCTCCTCCCTACACTCTGGGGTCCCTGGGGAGTCCTCCGAGAAATCATCGATCTCAGAAGTTCATTACCGTGGAGACTCAGCAGGACTAAACATGGGGAGGGCGGTGGGGAGAAGTCAGAGTGGATGAGGAAGGGTGATGGATTCAGTCTGGAAGTGTCCCGTGGGTATAGGGCCCTGAGCTCCCGAGGTGGGCGCTGGCAGGAAGACCCCCGCGGTTCAGAAGCTGGATGGGGTTCAGATGAACATGCTGGCGACAAGACGATTGGAAGAAGATGGAAGGTGGGAACTGGCCTCCGCTCTCGGTCCTCACAAGCACTGAGGGGCCTCAGCCTCCCCGGCTCCCTGGCACTCCGCAGCCTCATCATCCTTGCTGCCCACCAGCGGCTCATCCTCCCCCTGCAGGCGCGGGGCTGAGCCGGCCTTCAGCTCCCCCAGCTCCAGGCAGCCCTGCTGAGACTTGCGCCCGTCGAAGAACGTGGTGAGGGTGGGCTGCCGGCCAGCCCCGTCCCCCACAGATGCTCCAGGGCCCTTCTCGCCCCCAGAGCCTCCTGAGGGGCCCACCATCAGGGCCTCCTCGTCGGGCACCGGGGCCGGCCCAGCCCAGGCATCCACCACCCCGTTGCGCTTGCCACCCCCACTTAGCGTCAGGGCTCCCGTCCTCCTCTTCTGCCGCTGGCGCCACAGCAGGAGTAGGGCTATGAGGAGAAGGACCATCCCCAGGGCCACAAGCACAGCCACCAGCAGGGTGCCCTTTGTCCCCTGATCTGAAAGTTGGGTACTGCTTGTGTCTTTGAGGGACGCTGACGTAGTCACAGCGAGTATTTTTACCGTGGAAATGGGGGAGTTATGGGTCCCCTTGGGGATCCGCGGAGAGCCGGTTGCCATGGTGAGAGGGGGTCCACTGTCCACATCAAAGGTCTCCAGAGAGCCGGTTGCCACGGTGCCAGGGAGTCCACTGGCTCCGTCAGAGGGCTCCAGAGAGCTGGTTGCCATGGTGACAGGGGGTCTACTGGTTACATCAAAGGTCTCCAAAGTGCCAGTTGCCATGGTGACAGGGGGTCCACTGGCTCCGTCAGAGGTCTCCAGAGAGCCTGTTGCCATGGTGACAGGGGGTCCACCAGTTACATCAAAGGTCTCCAGAGAGCTGGTTGCCATGGTGACAGGGGGTCCACTGGTTACATCAAAGGTCTCCAGAGTGCCAGTTGCCATGGTGACAGGGGGTCCACCAGTTACATCAAAGGTCTCCAGAGAGCTGGTTGCCATGGTGACAGGGGGTCCACTGGTTACATCAAAGGTCTCCAGAGTGCCAGT